TGGTGATTTTAATAAGCTTTTAAAAAATTATCCCGCGACGCGATTAACATTTGCATTTTTTCATTTGCAGCTGTTTTTATACTTTTGGGATTGAATTTAAATCGCTATCGCTGTCTATTTCCATATTTTTTTCACTTTACTAGCTATATGCGAAGAACCAAACTTTAACAAATGGTACAAAATGCGCGCCATTTGTTGTTTTCTTCACCAAGTTGGTTTTATTCATCCTATTTTTATTTTCAGCCAGTATATTTTTAGCTTATGCATACATTTTTTAATAAACTTATTGGGAGCCATTAAATCTTATAATAAATATTTCTTTTCGTACATACTGTATATAAAATACTACTACTATATACATATAATTATATCTAAAAGCAATTGGAACAGCAAAATAACAGTATAATGGTACAAAAAAAGGAAAGTCACTTTATATGCGACGCCGCCATGAAGCAACACGGCCGACACGGATGGACGCCGCAGTTGAAAATGTACCTAATGAAGAAAATCATTAAAAACTCATTACGGTATACTACACTACCCATTGAGTTTAACAACTTACAAATGTTGAACCCTTTGCACACCACAATTGAAGTTCAACTATCATAATTATATTATCGTTATCATACGTAATAGTGATGTAACGAATGTCATTTTTTGAACATTCGCGAATGCGAATGCGGATGCGAAAGTCTGGTACCGACATTCGCGAATGCGAATATTTATTTATTTTTTAAATTGCCGCCAATTGTCTATGGTATGATGGCAGTCTCGTTCGAATTGCCGAGTTGATATGAACTCATCCGACTGAAGTGTCATTCCGCTCGCGCCGGTCTTTCCGTAAACAAAACAAGTGAATTTTGAGGTTAGTGATTGTGAGTGGTAATAGTGATTTATTAACATGAGTAAATCGAATTCTAGTGAAACATGGACTTATTTCACAGTTTGCGATGCTGAACGAGCTAAATGCAAACTGTGTAACAATGAAAATACAAGGAAAGGCAGAACTACAACTCCTTCAAATTGTTTTTTTCTAATATTCATATTCGCAAAACATTCGCAGAGATTTTGCGAATGCGAATGTGAATGCGAATATTCAAAAATATGCGAATATTCGCGAATGCGAATGCGAATATTCGTTACATCACTAATACGTAATAATAATGCGTTTTTTTTTCTTCTCCGCAGAATCCCATAAGAAAGCATACAAACTTATCTTTATTTCTTTAACACAAGATTGTGGAGAGATTGGTATCCAAAATAGGTCGCAGCCTATGATCTCATAAGACCAGAGTTATCTCCTCTCTTTATACAATGTACATGTTCCAATATCTATTGTATATTTCCTCATCATCATCAGTCTATTAATGTCCCCACTGCTGTGGCACAGGCCTTCCCTATGGATGGATTAGGGAGATTAGGCCATGACCCACCACGCGGGCCCAGTGCGGATTGGTGGGTGCTAACGAGTGCAGATGCAACCGGGACCAACGGCTTAACGTGCCTTCCGAAGCACGTAGGAGCTCGAGATAGTAATTTTTGGTCACCCATCCAATGACCGACCACTGCGAAAGTTGCTTAAGTTCAACGATCTAAGCCGAATGCGCTAACCACTTGCACCATCGAGCTCCCAGTTGTTAGCGGAGTCGTCACAAACGCACATTATAGCAGCATCCTTCAACTTATTTTGCCAAGCGGAGATTTTGGAATTTTCTGGAGTGCGGCAAAATACCTGAGCCCTCTAAATAGGGTCGAACGTGGTCGTGTCGTGAATCCTCCAGTAGCTCCTATTCAGAAGACAGACGATTTGGACACGACGAAATGTCATGGCCGATTGTTGTTCTTTCTTGCTGCACTAGATGTCCGACTCTATATAAAAGGATTAGGTATGGTGGGGGAGCGTGGGAAAGTCAGAAATCAGAAATCAATATATCTTTATTCAAATTGGATGTATAGTACAACACTTTTGAATCGTCCAAACATTTTTTTCCCTACCACTCATTATTGGACATATTTTTTAGCTGCGGAGAAAAACGAGCGAAAAAAACTCCACAACATTAAAAGCATAATGTAAAAACATTTACAAATCATTATGTTGTTACAACGTCAATACAATCATGATTTATTTAATTTAGAAAACCTGTTGGAATGATTGGAACAGTTCAAACCCAAGCATTTTTGCCTGTAATATAATCAGACACTTTGTAATAAGCTTTTTTAATAAGTGCTTTTTTTATACTATCTTTGAATTTATTTATGCTTAACTCTTGGATATTGCTTGGGACTTTATTGTGTAAGCGAACACAAAGACCTTTAAATGAATTATTGATTTTGTGAAGCAGGTAAAGTTAGTTTATTTTTGTTTCTTGTATTAAGTGTGTGAACATCACTGTTTTTAAGAAACAAATTAATATTTTTTGACGTGACAACGTCTTAAATTAGGTTGCGGCTGGGAGTCACTTATGAAAAAGTGTAACGCTCGGTAACGTTACGATGAGTCTCTCGTGTTAAGTTTAAGTTTACATGTACAATGTTTTAGTAAACAAAATATATTTCTATAGTTAAAATTTGTGCAATTCTTATTTTCATTCAATTCCTTGTTCCTATTGTGCAATTTAATTATATTCATATCAATAAATATTCTACCGAGAAAAAGACGTTGTCACGTAAAATCTTCGCCCGTAAAACCGACTTTACAGGCAACCATTTTTTTTCTTACAAGTAATAAATTTTCGTAAATGTATTGTGATGCGACCGTCAGGGAAGATGCAATATTTTTATTTTTGTTTTCATTTTAAAGAATTTCATGTAGAATAAACCACAGATATATTAAAAAAATAAAACATTGTGATTTATCGGAAAAAATGCGGTAACTGACAATTTAAATTTTCGCGCGAAAACGAACCTATGGTTGCGATGACGTCACTCCTGTCTGTCACTGGTCGTAATTGTTCGTTGCTGGCTTTAAATTTTCATACTTTTGCATATTTTTTCGACTTCCGGAATATTTTTTTGAAAAATTTAAAATGGACTATCCATCAACATCATGTGATCATAACAATACCACTAATATTCCGAAAAAAAAAAGTTCCCAAATAAATTGTTTTTGACTGGAACTTCTGACCCAAAACTGAAAAAAAAGTGGTTTCAAGCTGCGAAGAGAAATGACAATTATTCTCCAAAGACCATTATTCGATGCTGAGAAGATCACTTTGATGTAAGTCGGCGAATATACTTGTTATATGCTTAATTAATCTGCTTGTACGTAAAAACGCATTAGTAACCTACCTAATACTTACAAAACCTGTCTATAACATACTTTGAATTTTACAGTTGGAGAATGACGTCGAAAATTAGATAAAGTTTAAAATGTGTGGCACAATCTTCACATTGGCAGGCGGCAGGACTGAACCAAGCTTTGCGTTTCATTTAAAATAACTGTAACACGATAACCTTCTTTACGTACTTTATGCTCCGGAGAACTCGACCTTTTACTGTACATAATTTTCCATCTCTTTTAATTTGGACATAGCCGATTGCATTATCGCCGTAAGATTTGTAGAAGCCGCTGAATAAAATACGAAGTTTAACAACTACGATTTTTACATACCGTAGTAATTTAGTCCCTTTCATTTTTACACTTAAAAACTCTGCACTTTGGACAAAAAAAGTTATAACCATGTCAACGCTAACTCTTGGTAAATTCCTGGAGTCTGCTTTGATAAACGCAACTTCCATTTTTATTAAATGTAAAAAACGCAATAAATATTCCCATAAAATAATATTTACTTTAACAACCATAACCTCAAAGAAGTTGTCATTACAGGAGTGACGTCACTAAACGCTGATAGGTGTTTTAAAATACGTTCCGTTTCAAGTATTTTTAATTCGTAATAATTGTTAAAAAACAACATTATGTAAAATAAAAACGTTGCAGTGGCATTTCTTTTATATTTTTTTAACATTTTAATCATAAAATTTTCATAAATATTATATATGCATCTTCCCTATTCCTTAAACCTATCTCTTAAGGAATCCTTAACTTTAAGATTATAAATTGATCGAATAGCTCTCTTCTGCAGCACAAAAATAGTTTGAATGTCGGCGGCGTTTCCCCACAATAAAATTCCGTACGACATTACACTATGGAAATAACTAAAGTATACTAACTAATCTGGCCGTATCTACATCCGTTAACTGGCGTATCTTCATTACGGCATATGCTGCAGAACTAAGTCTATTTGACAATTTATCAATATGTGGGCCCCATTGAAGCTTAGAATCTGAAGTAATCCCTAAGAATACTGTGGTGTCTACAAGGCCCATATTCCTATTCTTTACATTCACACTGGTTTTTACCTGTTTTACATTCACTTCACAAAGTGCAAGGTTGCGCCGCTGCCGCGCTCGAGTACCTAAATCCTAAAATCCCCGCTTGGGCTCCCCTACTACTATGTCTATGAACTAAATAGATAGGGGAAAGCTCATAGTTGGTGGGAATTTGTCTATATAATCAAGTTAGTAAACATGATTTTGAGTCTGTCTGTATAAAGTATCTCATGCCTTTAAAACAATAACGTTTGACAGCCTTCGTAATGACATTGACACAACAACAAACAATAGCGATTTGCGTCTCCATTTGTGAATGCGGTCTTGACCCTGGTAAATTCCAACCAAAACGGAAAATTTAAAAAAAGTAATAATAATTAGAAAGAATATGTGATTCAGTTTTCAACACCTTTACAAAGAAAAATAATATAAACTTCATAAGTTATCCCACCAAAGAAAAATAATATATAAAAAGTTTTTGTTGGAGAATCTTATTTGTTTTTCCAGTAGCCCATTGGCTGTGATCAAACTATAACTACAACAGATAACGGATTAATTAGGATAGTTGACGAAAGATACTGCAAGGTCAAAATACAATAACAAATTATCAGTTCAAATTGAGTTAAATATAATTTACGGACCTATGTTCTGAATCTATTGCTTTATAAGAAATGTCTATAAAAGCCTTCTTATTGTTACGGTAAGTTGAAGTACTTTTTTATTCTGTTCATTTAATTAACACCATTTCTGCACATAGGAATTTAACTATCTCCCTATGCAAAATAATCATAAATCTCTACCCCTATATTTCAGTAATGTAGCAAGATATAGAATTGTGAACTTTACGCCAATTGGATTAAGGACATTTAGCAACAGGTCCCGAGATGAAAAAGGATGGGGTTGGAAAACTCCAGGGATTGCCGCTTTGCTTGGTTCAGTAGTTGTTGGATCTGCTTTATCAGGTAAAACAACTTTATAGTAAAAAGAAAAAAAATATAGCTATATTTTATATCATCTATATGCCATAGTGAATATTACTGAAACATGGCTATTGGCAGTAAAAAGAGAAGAGAATGTGAATTAAGTTTGTATGATAATATCCATGACAAAGAAATGCACTTATAGCTGCTAGTTTTTTAACTAGCGTCGCTAAATGCTATGGCATGTGGATCACCAACTAAGAGTTAGTGGAAGGCACATTCTCAAGATATATAATTTTTTTTACTCTACCGTGTTAGGGTAACCTGACACATTACATGACCAAACATTCAATATTTCAGAAAGACTTGACCTCAGACAAAAGGCAAAACCTGCTACAGAAAAAGAAGTAATAGAGGCTGGTGTAAAGAGACCAGACTTGCCTACCTACAGGGCCGAGGAAGTGAGCAAACATGACACCAAGTGAGTAACAACTTAAATAACTGAATATAATAAATATTACCTACACATACCAATTAGCCTAGCCCCAAAGTAAGCACTGTAAGGCTTGTGTTATGGGATACTACAGTAACGGATAGAATACATATCAATCACTCATCATACATATCATATCTACAGTGATATATAAGTAGATTTAAATAGAAATAAATATTAAACATCCATGACTGGAGTACAAACGCTTGTATTCATCACACAAACATCTGCCCCCACTGGAATTCGAACCCTGGACCTCTCGAGTCAGCGACACCATGAAACCCGGTGTATAAACCACGTGGCCATGGAGGTACTGTTCTTATTAACTTCTTCTTTTTTTTATTTCTAAATTATAACTGCGCAGTTGTAAATAAGTACTACACAATATGAGAATAAATAATATCTTCATCATCATCTTCAGCCTATTAATGTCCCCACTGCTGGGGCACAGGCCTTCCTTTTGGATGGAATAGGGAGATTGGGCCATGACCCACCACGCTGGCCCAGTGCGGATTGGTGGGTGCTAACGACTGCAGATGAAGCCGGGACCAACGGCTTAACGTGCCTTCCGAAACTTAATATCTTAAAAGTTAGCAAATGCAAGGAATGAGGAGAGTTCATAGAAATTTGTAAATTATTATCTCAACAACCTTAAAATACCACTGCACTACCTTAAAGCAGCAGGCTGCGAAGGACGGCACGCCCCTGTCTATGCCTTACCTGTAACACGCAGGCGGAATTATTCAATAGACCTCATTATATTTCAACAACATGGTTGTTAAAGCTTGAGACCGCTGACGAATAGAGGTGACTTCAGCACATATTAAAAACCAATGAAAAATGATTTAAATTGGAAATATTTAGAATGGCAAAAGGAAAGCAAAAGGCAGTCTGCTGTATTCTGACATGATGCAAACTCTTATCAGGTTGTTTCAACATAAAACTGATGATAATAATAACACTAAATATTTTAAGCCTGTTTGGATTGATTTGGATAAATTCAAAAAACTATCAAATCAGTTTATCATAAACATTATAAATTACAAATTGAATTACAATTCATTATGTATGTTGTATGTCATATATATTTTTATATACATTTTATCCTAATATTCGCTATCTATAGAATAATCTATTTCTTTATTGTAATATAAACTTAGCAAATAAAACTAGTTTTAATGCACGAAACTTAATTTATTTATTGACGTTTCGCAGCCTATTCAGGTCTGCTTCGTCAGAATAATGATTTTTTCTCATCATTATTCTGTCAAAGCAGATCTGTAAAGGCTGCGAAACGATTAATGATGACAAATGATTTTTTCTCATCATTATTCTGACAAAGCAGACCTGAAATGGCTGCAAAACATCAATAAATTAATAAAGTTTTGTGCATTTACCCGTTAAAACTAGTTTTATTTAATGTGTGATGTGCGTGGAAACCTAAGAAACAAATAAACTTAGCAATTCATCTCCATTATAAAATTATTGTAAATTAATTTGTATAATTCATTAATTGTATTTACTTTCTGGTAAACAGGTTGAGTTTTTGGGTGACATACAAGCAGGGGGTATATGATGTCACCGATTTCCTACCCTCTCACCCTGGAGGTGAGCAGATTCTGAATGCTGCTGGGTTGAGCATTGAGCCGTTTTGGAATGTCTACGGCATGCACAAGACTGAAGAGATTTACAAGTTGCTAGAGTCATACAGAATAGGTAACATTTGTGAAACAAAATAATTTTGTATTGTTAAGCGTAAGCGTTTTGTAAGATAGCAACCTGCAGACATTCATTGCTAAACTTAAAATTGACAACAGTGTATCTGTCGTGGCCATATCGTAGATTTGATCACTTCATGAAATGCTTGAGAATTTCATTAAATGGTCGCATTTCATGAAATGGTTCACTATCTATTGGCCACATCATGATATGGTTTGGGCAGATCAATGATGAGAAATCGTCTCACGATATGGCCAACTAAACGCGCGGCTACTTCATGAAATGGCAAAAATTATTTGATCTTATTGTAAAGTAGTCACATTAATTACCGGTAGAGGCGCTGCAAGCGCTTTGTTTATATATGTATATGGCGGTCGCTGCCGACAATGTTGTTTCTTGCAGTGAAAAAGTGCATAATTCGTTATTTAATGAGGAAGAAAGTGATAACAAAAAGGTTTTCGACGAAACAAATTAAGGAGAGTAGGGTGACTACGCAAAAGGACTCTATGGACTATTACTGGGTGTCAAAATATGACATCCAGACACGCCAGAATCGACGCCATTGTCAAATTACGTTCTATAAAGTTTTGGTTCGCCAGGTAACTTGCACGAGGATGACTTGGTGGACCATTCAGATGAAGAGCTATGGGCCCGGGAGCCCCGCAGAGACCCGAGATTGTCAGTGAAGACTGCGCGCCCCTTCAACGCGGAGACGCCTCCGAAATACCAGATACTGCACTTCGATACGCCCAAGTATGTCACATAAAGTACCTACTTACTACTTAACGATACATCCTACTATTCCAAGTTTAGAACCTAACATTTTTCCGGAAGAAAGATGAGTCTTTCTTTGTCGCACTATCCGTAAATGGAATGCTCTGCCCGCTCACGTGTTCTAGTGTTGCCGAACTATCGATATTAAAACTATCGACAGTTTACATCGAAAATCATGTACCCTATCGATAGGCCTATCGATAGAATCGATACAACCGATAGTATCGATATTATCGATAGCTCAGAACAAGGCAATACTATCGAATGAGTGCAATACTATCGATACTATTGTAGTTCATTAATAACAAACTATTGATAGTATCGATACTATCGATAAGCCGATCGATTGTCATACGATTGGTTGGCTATCGATAGACTATCGATTAATCATCGATAGTCGACTAACGATCGGCAACACTAACGTGTTCCCTCTTACTAAATAGGGGTCATTCGCCTAACGGAAATGCTTTAGAGAACACTAACGCTTTCGATTTCATTTTGTTATTTCTGACCGCCGAAGGTTTTCAAATACCTCACGCTCTATTTCCTTAATATTGTTATTACCAATGCAAAAAAAAGAGCGCGAGGCATTCGAAAACCTCAGGCGGCTAGAAATATCAAAATGAAATCGTAAGCGGTAGCGTTTTCCAAAGCATTTCCGTTAGGCGAATGGCCCCCTGCTATTCGCGTCTGGACTTCACCTTCACTTAACATCAGGCTGTTACTCAATCAGGCAAAATGTCATGGATGAAATTTGCATATCCATCGATGAAATGAGAAATCAATATATCTTTATTCAAATTGGATGTACAGTACAATTCTCTTAAAACATCAAAAAAAAACCTTATCACTCGTTATTAGACACATTTTTTAGCTGCGGAGAAAAATGAGCGAAAAAAACTCCACAATGTCAAAAGTATACTGTAACAACATTTACAAATCATTGTGTTGTTACAACGTGAATACAATCATGATTTAAATAAATTAAATAATACAGAAAATCTGTTGGAATGATTGGAACAGTTCAAACCCAAGCATTTTTGTCTGTAATAGATGCATTTCGGAACAAGTAGGTATCTTAGTTATGTTTTTATTTATTTTTTAAGCATTTAACTGCTAGATATTTAAATCATTGATTTTTTTCTAGTAAACTTTTCTTTAGATTTAAACATCTAGCAGTTAAATGCTTAAAAAATAAATAAAAACATAACTATAATTGCTATTTCTTCTTTCGAATGTTCAATACTTGAAAAGGTATTCATTTGACATTGTGGGTTACCTACAATGCGAAGAGATGGCGCTGCCTTGCAGCTTAAGGCTAGGAAAATTTCGACGCGGCGAATAGGGCCGTGGTAGCATAATGGTCAGTGCATTCGCCCGGATTGCGAAGGATGGGGGTTCGAGTCCCGTCCGCTGCCTGGTCCGCGTGGATTTTTTTTCAAGTATCTTAGTGTCGTTATTGGCTTGTTATCGATCGAGATTTATTTTTCTTTACTATGTAGTACCCTCAGTACGAGCAGCCAGTACACATACAGATTAGAGCGTAGTAATAAAAAATGACGGTAGAGTCTGTGCGGAAAGAGAATGGTATTTAGATTGGAGGGCGCTGTAGTGCTTTTCTACCGTATTTGTAAGGTTTTACCCCTTTTAGACATGATTAAATACAAAAAACCGCAAGAAATCACAACAACAGACAAATCCGTATCAATACAAAACTTTGACGTTTTACAGATTGCTGGGTTTGATTGCCAAATAAAAATCTTAATGTTAATTCCGTTTTTCGCCGCGCCCATTCTCTTTCCGCACAGACTCTATTCCCTCTATTCACCACGCTCTGCCGCCGCTGCTAGACTTTATACACCAAACGTAGGTGATGGTGATTTATTACTTTAATTAATAAGCTTAAAATACGGAGCACAGATTAACACGTTGCAGCAGATACATCGTGTCCCGTGGATTAATTAATTAATACTATAGCGTAGTAAAAACACAACTCCTCGCCGCCGTTGCTCATTTATTTTAGAGAATCGATGCGCATTTATTTTAGAGAATAAAAGACAACAATTCTGACACGATTCTCTAAACCTAAACTTAAATTTGACAACAGTGTATCCTTTTCATTCTGTGTAGAGAATGACAAGGATGTACTGTTGTCAAATTTAAATTTAGGTTTAGAGAATCATGCTAGAATCGACACCAGTGACTGAAAAATTTAGATTGTTATCCTAGATAACTATGGCTGCTGTTTGTTGTTACCGAACTCTACTAAACTTGATCACGAATTCTGTTATGTTGTTGTAAATTATCCTTGATGTGTTACATCTTTCCTCTCGCTTTCTTGCAATTTGTGGGAGTGATTTCGTGAAATGGGACGGACGGAAGTGTGTATCAGGAAGTCGCGAAAGCGCGCGCTATTTGATTTGATTTTGGAACATAATGTTCAAATGGCTTATTCCTTTCGTAGTAGATTTTATTTCTTTCTTTATGTATGCTATGTATATGTATACAAAATTTTTAAAAGTATTTTATGTATGTGAAATAATGTTTGTATGAAGTACCTACCTACTATTATTTCTCATGTCGCTTTTATTTTAAATCATTTGTCTCCATTTGTTGACCTACAGAACTTTGTTCCGTGAGTTGACTAGTAGAGAATCTCGTTATGGTATGGCATTAGTACGCCGTTTGCTTATGTGCGGCAATAAAGTTTAAATAAATAAATAAAATACTAACTAAAGAATGATGTAAGTACCAAAAATTTTCAGAGGATTTGCCTTTTTATGAAATCAGTATTCTGTTTTGTTAGCAGCTCCATCTAGCAAGTATTGCAGCGTGTAGAGAAAGCCTGGCTTTAAGATTTGACTAGCATTTAATGTTAACATTAGTCGCTAGATGGCGCCCCTAAATGTGTACGCATATTTCTGAAAGGCGGTGTTGAAAGTGTAGCTGGAATCAAGACTACGTTACACGTAGTTAGAAAATTCATACTTACCTGGCATAGAGGACACCGTGATCAGGAAGGCGGTTCCCCCAGGGCGAGGCTCCTCCATTGCACTGCGGTGGGGTTGACCCCTGCGATTATCCCTAATGTGGATAACTCGGATGCGTAATTTTTGGTAGTGGGGACTGCGTACGCGCTGTCCCCCTGGATATTCAGAAAATTGCAGTGTTTTTTTTAATATAAATAAATATTTCCGACACTCACACCAATTAGCCTAGCCCCAAAGTAAGCACTATAAGGCTTGTGTTATGGGATACTAGGGTAACGAATAGAATACATATATAAGTATATTTATATAAATACATATTAAACATCCATGACTGGAGTACAAATGCTCGTATTCATCACACAAACATCTGCCCCCACCGGGATTCGAACCCGGGACCTCTCGAGTCGGCGACAGCCATGAAACCCGGCGTACAAACCACTCGGCCACGGAGGTCGTCAATGCAATATGTGCTAAATACAATGTTTTGTTCCTCCAATTTCGGAATCAGTTTCTAAGCATCTAATTATCCCTCCGGTCTGTTAACATTAAGATTTAAGACAATTCTTATAAATGTCTTAGTTTTAGAACGCCAGAAACAAAACTGTCAAATTCATGTACAGTCGTTAAAACTTTATTTTTAATAACGAAAATTATGTTTATTATTAATCCTTAAAAATATACTGGATGGCCCATCATCCCATGACAGAAAAGTCTTTACTCCATTCATTTATATTTTAAAACTACTCGATCTTTTAGCATTGAATTTGGTATGTAAATTCCCCTCCGGTCTGTTAGGACCGATTCTACTATTGTCATATGTGGTCTCATAATGAACAAATATATGAAGGAAGGTGTTGTTCTGTATTCATAGGAAGTTTGTGATGAGCGGTTCTTATGTTTATTCTTAATAACTGCTATTGTTAAGAACTTAATAGTGTATTTTTTGTACTAGAAAAATAAGTTTTTGATGTGTAGCATCTTTCCTCTCGCTTTCTTGCAATTTGGGGGAGTGATTTCGTGAAATGGGACAGAAGTGTGTAACAGGAAGCCGCGAATGCGCGCGCTATTTGATTTGATTTTAGAACATAATGTTCAAATCGCTTATTCCTTTTATAGTAGGTTTTATATCTTTTTTTATTAATATAAGGTGAGGTTTCAAATGTTACACATCATACGCGACTACTGTAAGGCTCGCTCGTTTTTTTTTCTGGCGCTCCGCCGCCACCTCTTTATACACCAAACTAAGAAGAATTGAACGACCGATAAACTGATATGTTTTAGGTGACAGCGTTCTAAAGACGAACCGGTTTCAAGGACCGTTTTGTGTTACGCGACGATAGAACCGTTTTAAGTTTCGGATCAAAACAGTCTTCGTCGAACAACTAGTCCTCGGATTGTCTGCCAATACGCACTTTATGATGAAGTAAATACAGTCTATAATAGAACGCAATGATATGAGGCCGTTTCGTTCTATGATAATTAAGCTTTGATTTTACAATAATATAATCTTTATTGTTGAACGTTTAAAGTCGATTATCGTATAACACTACATTTATTTCGATGTTTCGTCGTCTCGTTCGCAGCAACGAAACAAACGTTAACAAAGATTTCATTTAGTTCAGTTTCGTTGCGTTACATTCGTTCGACCGTCGCGTGTCGTTTCGTTGCGTCACCCAGCCGCAACCATAACCAGTTGCGAACGAGAACAGTTTCGAGGACTAGTTTTCGTTTAAAAGAAAACGGTTGCATTTTGAGAACGACCCACCGCTAGTTTAAAGCAGGTGATGGAGATTTATTACTTTAATAGGTTATTTGACAGTATTAAAAATAAAGTGCCAATTGTTAGCATCTGTGTTTTAAATGCATATTGGCAGAGGTTTTCACTATTTATACAAAAAAAAATATTCATAATTTTACTAAAAACCCACGAAAAAGATAATAGTTTTCTTTTCCTGCCAGAATTATCAGCGCTGCAGCAGCCCTGGTGTTGCTGTAGTATTCAAGCTGAGGCAGGGACCTAGTTGGGCTATTTTGTCTTGTTTAATTTATGTAAATGTGACTGTGTTTAAGGCAAATACATTTATTTCTATTCTATTTCTATTATCTATTGTCACGTGACCCAAAACGCTTGGGATTGGCGGAGCCTAAAATGACGTCACACGCAAGTAAACTTCCGGTTAAAGTGACATTACATTGTATCGTTTGACGTTTTTATAACAATCGTGTGACGTCACACACTAGTAAGACGCCATACTGTCCAGAGAAACGTTTTCGCGGCAACTTGAGGAGTTTTTGATTTGGTTATTTTTACTGAAATACACAACAGAATGATGAATAGCCACTTTTTACGGACTCCATAAACATTAGTCAATAACGTGAGATCGTTTACTAAAACTTGTCGAATACCCTATTTATAATAACCTTAAAATACGGAGCGCAGATCATAACGCGTTATAGCAGAACAATCGCGTTTCGCGCTTCCCAATTATTATCATCAAATATCAAATCAATCATCCTACAACATATACATACATCTCTAAAAACAATAATTCATGTAAGCCAATCTATTTAAGCGTCGCGTGTAATTTATTCTGTTTTCAGCGAATTATTTTACGTGCGCCAACACATGCCTGTTCCAGAGCTGGACCCTGAGACGCACCGCCTCAGCGTCGTGATCAAAGAAGGTGACGGTCGCGAGAGGAGGACAGTTCTGTCGATGCAGCAACTGCAGCAGTTGCCGCGGCACACCGTCAGGGCGGCGCTCATGTGCGCGGGGAACAGACGGACGGAGATGCACCAGGTTGGTGTGGGTTAGGTTATCTATATATATAAAACTCAAAGGTGACTGACTGACATAGTGATCTATCAACGCACAGCCCAAACTGGACGGATCAGCCTGAAATTTGGCATGCAGGTAGATGTTATGACGTAGGCATCCGCTGAGAAAGGATTTTGATCAATTCTACCCCCAAGGGGATAAAATAGGGAATGAAAGTTTGTATGAAACTTTGTCAATTTTAAACCGATCGGGCTGAGACTTTGCATGCAGGTATAAGAAGAATCATAGATGTATGTCATTGTGTATAATACAAGCCTGAGAACAAAAACTGTAGTCTACACTTCAGCTGTACACCGCAGCGAAGCGAGGGCGGGCCGCTAGAAAAAAAAAATGTTACTTATATCGTTGTCATTTTACCAATCTATTTTATAATTATGGCATATTATGGGATAATTAATGAAATATATGAATTTTGATGGTTCGTATTTATATTACGTAAATTTAAGAAATTTAATTTCAATTGTAAATTGAGTGATTTTCCTTCATAGAACACCAACTATTGCGATGCCCTGACAGGGTTAATGTAACTTTATGACATGTATTTAACCATATCTGTAACAACATGAATGGAATATTTAAAATTGAAATGTGTATAATAACTTGTTTTGTGGGAAATGTCTTTTGCCATAGCGTGTGGGGAGAGGGAGAGAGAAATGTTTTTTTTTGTCTTCTTACTTTTTAAATGGCTGTGGCAGAGATATTTTGATATGTTCAGCCAAGCATGTTTTGTTTTTATTTTTATTCCTGGTAATTTATTTTATTTTCTATTTTTTTTTATGTTATTTATTGTTCTTGTTGTTATTGATTCGTGCGACACCAAACCGGTTCCAACGGAAGACCAGCTCTAATGGCAACATTAGCACTACGCTGAGTTGAAACCGTTTTGAGACTAAATTTAATTGTTTTATTTTATTTTTCATATTATTATGACTTTTTTGTTGTTACAAATATTTTTTTTTTCTTTCTTTTAAATTGAGAAATTTACGTGGATCCAGAAAGCAGCCGGGACTCGAACCCGCACCCTCCGCTATCCGGGCGGATGCACTTAGAACCTCTTCCGTTTTTTTTTCGTCGGTTTAAAAAAACACGCAGCTAAAATCACGGGGCTAATTTTTATATAAGAGAAAAACTAGTTTGAAGATAGCACTTTTCTTTAATGAATGTAAACACACAGACAAGATAAATAGCAGTGACATATAAAAACAATAGACATAGAAAACTAAAATTCAAAACGTGATCAAAAAAATGTGCCAGGATTACGGTTTACAACACTAATGACCAATAAAAATAATGTTTAATTTGTTCCAAAGCAGGTAAAGCCGGTCAAGGGCATCAGTTGGACGACGGGCGCCATCAGCAACGCTGTATGGGAGGGAGTGTACTTGCGAGATTTGCTGATACTGTGCGGGGTCGACTTGGACAATACTGAGGGGAAACACGTTATTGTGAGCACTTACTGCATGTTTAATCTATCTAATATATAAAACTAGCAAACCAGTGAACCAAATGTTCACCAAAACCAGATTTAAAAAAAAAATGTATCTAATTAATTGAGAACTTCGGAGATTTTGTGTGGTTTCGTTTGAAATTCGTGATTTCTCGAAAACCGGAAGTGCTACGTTACTCAAATCCGGTTTGTAGTCTTATCAGGCTATTCTTAACTTATAACTTAAATATTCTCTTTATCTATCTCTTACGGTTTGGCCGCTGAAACAGCACCACAGACAGACGGACGGACTTGTCTAATAGATAAGAGATTCTCGTGTCGCGTTGTTTGTGGTTAAACTCCTCCGAAACGGCTTTCCCGATTCTCATGAAATTTTGTGTAGCATATTGGGTAGGACTGAGAATCGGACAACATCTATTTTTCATCCCCCTAAATATTAAGGATAATCCACCCCTAAATTTTTTTTTTCAATTTTAGATATTTTTTTTTATGATACATCATACAAAAATAAATATACTTAACCCTAACTTTTCGCCCTTCTACCACCAACCCCTATTTTTTTATGGCGGTACGAAGTTCGCAGGGTCAACTAGTCTAATATATAAAATTCTCGTGTCGCGGTGTTTGTGGTTAAACTCCTCCGAAACGGCTCGACCGATTTTCGTGAAATTTTATATGCAATCAAATGAAATGTCATTTATTCAGTCTAGGCTGTTACAAGCACTTGTGAAGGTCAAGAAGCTACGCCATACAAATTCAGTAGGTCTGAGAATCGGACAACATCTATTTTTCATCCCCCTAAATGTTAAGGGTAATCCACCCCTAAATTTTTTTTCGGACAATATTTATTTTTTATAATGTGGTATTAAAAATACATAAAATTCTAAATTTTCTCTTCTACCACCTGCCTCTATTTTTATGGCAGTACGAAGTTCGCTGGGTCGACTAGTAGAATATAATATTCATCATCAGCCTATTAATGTTTTCCCTGCTGGGGCACAAGCCTTCCTTATAGGTTGAAAAGGGAAATTGGGCTATGACCTTCCACGTGGATCCAGTGTGGATTGGCGGGTGCTAACGACTGCAGATTTAGTCGAGACCAACGGCTTAACGTATCTTCCGAAACACCGAGGAGCTCGATATAGTAAATTTTTGGTCACCCATCCGATGACCGACCACTGTAAAAGTTGTTTAACTTTAACGATCGCAGCTGAACACGCTAACCACCTGCGCCATTGAGCTTCAACCATGCGGTTTCGCGTGTTGGGTGGCGCATGGTCCAATCTCCCTATTCCATATCTAGTTGGTAATCCCGGGAGTCGCGTTATGGAAACCGCTGGCGACTGGAGGCTGTAGGAACGGGTAGCTGAGCCCGGCAGAGAGCACTCTCGTGTGGTGGAAGTAGGGGCTGTGGGGTGATACCGGCCAAATTGGTATCCCGAGCATTGAACCCTGGAACGCGCCATTAAAATACAATTACAAGCGGTTCAGTACTATTTTGTGAAGTACCTAATGGCCTGTGCCCCAGCAGGGGGGATCATCATCATCATCATCATCAGCCTATTAATGTCCCCACTACTGGGGCACAGGCCTTCCCTATGGATGGAATAGGGAGATTGGGCCATAACCCACCACGCGGGCCCAGTGCGGATTGGTGGGTGCTATGCTAACGACTGCAGATGCAGCCGGGACCAACGGCTTAACGTGCCTTCCGAAGCACGGAGGGGCTCGAGATAGTAAATGTTTGGTCACCCATCCAATGACCGACCACTGCGAAAGTTGCTTAACATCAAAGATCGCAGCCGGACGCGCTATCCACTTGCGCCATCGAGCTCCTCAGCAGGGGGGATATTAATAGGCTAATGATTATGAGGTTTCCGCTGCTCGTTTGGCAATCGTTTAGCGTTGTGTCATTGACCTTGGGTGTATATGTGGTGTGAGGAGCTCGATGGCGCAGGTGGCTAGCGCGTTCGGCTGCGATCGTTGAAGTTAAGCAACTTTCGCAGTGGTCGGTCTTTGGATGGGTGACCAAAAATTTACTATCTCGAGCTCCTCCGTGCTTCGGAAGGCACGTTAAGCCGTTGGTCCCGGCTGCATTTGCAGTCGTTAGCACCCACCAATCCGCACTGGGCCCGCGTGGTGGGTCATGGCCCAATCTCCCTATTCCATCCATAGGGAAGGCCTGTGCCCCAGCAGTGGGGACATTATTAGGCTGATGATGATGATGATGTATATGTGGTAGTTGACGGGCGCGGATATAGACGCGACGGGCGTCAACTTCAGCACGTCCATTCCCTTGTCGCTGGCTTTGGAACCCAGCGCCCGTATCCTGCTGGCCACCACCATGAACGGGGCGCCGCTACCCCCCGACCACGGCCGGCCCCTGCGAGCGCTGGTACCCGGCGCGGCCGCAGTACGCAGCGTCAAGTGGCTAGGTATTATAGAGTTCTACCCGGAATGGATAGAACCTGGGGACGTGACTCTTCAGTAAAAAATGGTTGCCTGTAAAGTCAGTTTTACGGGCGAAGATTTTACGTGACAACGTCTTTTTCTCGGTAGAATATTTATTGATATGAATATAATTAAATTGCACAATAGGAACAAGGAATTGAATGAAAATAAGAATTGCACAAATTTTAACTATAGAAATATATTTTGTTTACTAAAACATTGTACATGTAAACTTAAACTTAACACGAGAGACTCATCGTAACGTTACCGAGCGTTACACTTTTTCATAAGTGACTCCCAGCCGCAACCTAATTTAAGACGTTGTCACGTCAACAACTAGACGATGGTTATTATTTTATATTATCATTCAGGCGATTATAAAGAATTTTATCTAAATACGAGAGGAAGTTCTCGGTGCCTGAAGATCTAATCTTGAATGGAACCTTCTATCAAAAGACAGACGATTCCTCATTTCAAATCTTAAAATCATGACATTATCTTTTTAATATAACTGCCAACCGTAGGCATTGCAAAAGCAAAGAGTTTACCTAAACAAGGAGGCTGTAACGTTTCGGACGTCACAGTATGTATGTAGCCCAGCGGCCGCTTGTGGCTGGCCACCACCATGAACGGGGCGCCGCTGGTACCCGGCGCGGCCGCAGTACGCAGCGTCAAGTGGCTAGGTATGTAGCCAACGTTACTGCTCCTGATCACTGTTGCGTCTCAATACATTTACAATAGGGTTGATGACGGGGTACAGTAAACGAAATTCTATTTAGTCCGTCAGTTAGATGATCAAAAAATAATGGACACGTATTTTTTCTTTGGGCAATCAACCAAAAAATGACAAAGTTATAGCGCGACAAAGTTCGTGACGTCACTTTTGAGTGAATTTTCACTTATAAGTGTACTCAAACGTGACGTCATGCGACTTTTCAAATCAATATATCTCTGCAATGTTTATATTATGTGAAAAAAGAAAAAATACGTGTCCAATACTTTTTGATAATCTACCTGATAAACGAAGAAAAAAAATTAGTCATCATCCCCATTTTATATTATTTATACGGCAGAACATAAATTTATGTCCGAGGCGGGATGATGTACTTTCAATACTAGAAATAAAGATAAACTCAAATTGCCACCGTTGAGACTCCAAAAGGTTCATTGCAGAAATGATAAGAATAATATGTCTTAGCTTGTCATACTATGTGTATATTGCAAATAGGCTACTTCTTAGTATAAAAAATAATGTACCAATTGTTGTCATCTGTATTTGCTATGAATATAAGCAGCGATTTTACTATTCTGAAAGAACAAATTTCTATAAAAGCATTAAGTAGGAATGTTTTTTTGCTCCATGGTCACGTGACCGAAAACGCCTGGGTTAGGCCAAGACTAAAATGACGTCACACGCTAGTAAACTTCCGGCCAAAGTGTCATTACATTGTATCGTTTGTTTTATTATGTTTTTGTTACATAAACATTTGTTAGCTTGTAAGTTTTCTGAAAAATAATTTAAGAGAATGCATTTGCAAATTTTTTATTGTTTAACCTTTCTATCAGTTTCAATATACAGGTACACGAGACCTGACACTATTTTAACTACTACCTGTATTATGAGATCTATGATACCTATCAATTCTGTATCTTTCGCCGCAGAATCCATAACGATATCGGACGAAGAAAGCTCTTCCCACTGGCACCGCAAAGACTACCGTTCGTTCAACGCGTCTGTCACTTGGGAGACTGCAGATTTCTCTAAAGCCCCGCCTGTATACAGTGTGCCCGTCACTTCGGCCATCTGCAGCCCCCAGCACGGGGACACTGTTGTAGTCAAAGACGGATATATTAACGTTCAAGGTAATTATATTGCCAAGAACCATCTGGAAACAAATATACCCAAGACAGAAGTACCTAAATACAAAAGCCGAGTGTTGCGGTTCACTCGAATATTAGCCTTAGCAGTGCATTACTTTTTTTTTAATTACACAGGAACATTGAATTTTTCATGATCATCAACTAACGGACTATATAATTCAGGAACTTGACATTAGAAATAGGACAATAGGAATATTCTTCAATCTAGCTAAAGCTTTTGATGCAGTTTGTATTCCCATTTTATTACAGAAACTAGAATATCTAGGTATAAAAGCACCAAGCTTAAACTATTTGCTAATTATTTAAGCAAACAAACCCAGTGTGTAAAAATAGGATTAGTTCTCGGCTTGGATTTAGACAATACCTGTTATGGAATTCCTCAGGGAAGTATTCTAGGCCCCACTTTATTATTAATTTATATAATTTATTTGTGTAATTTACAATTAGTAAATGGAAAAATCATTTAAGTAAGATAATATGTTTTATATTTTCTGCATTTAATGAGTTTTTTATTTGAGTGGCTTTATTATTGCATGATTATTAATTATTGAATGTGTACATTTTTTACTAACATTTGTACGTTGAAATTATACTTTCTTTATTTATAAGAAGTGTTTCTAATTATATTACCATCACTCGTGGCACATTTCCGTTTCATGTCTTCTATAGGATTTGTCCTTTAACACTTCGTTCGAAAAGAAGTTTCACTTCAAAAATAAAAATACATATACTTACCAGGTTACGCGTACTCCGGGGGCGGTGCCAAAGTGACCAGAGTGGATGTTAGTGGCGATCAGGGGAACACCTGGCTCGAGGCCAGGATCACTGCTGCCGATGCTGCTCCCCCGCCGCGGCACTACTCCTGGACGCTGTGGGAGCTGCAGCTGCCCGCCTCCATACAGGCCTCGGTGAGTATAGATCGGAGGCCAGGATCACTGCCCGCCTCCATACAGGCCTCGGTGAGTATAGATCGGAGGCCAGGATCACTGCTGCCGATGCTGCTCCCCCGCCGCGGCACTACTCCTGGACGCTGTGGGAGCTGCAGCTGCCCGCCTCCATACAGGCCTCGGTGAGTATAGATCGGAGGCCAGGATCACTGCCCGCCTCCATACAGGCCTCGGTGAGTATAGATCGGAGGCCAGGATCACTGCTGCCGATGCTGCTCCCCCGCCGCGGCACTACTCCTGGACGCTGTGGGAGCTGCAGCTGCCCGCCTCCATACAGGCCTCGGTGAGTATAGATCGGAGGCCAGGATCACTGCCCGCCTCCATACAGGCCTCGGTGAGTATAGATCGGAGGCCAGGATCACTGCTGCCGATGCTGCTCCCCCGCCGCGGCACTACTCCTGGACGCTGTGGGAGCTGCAGCTGCCCGCCTCCATACAGGCCTCGGTGAGTATAGATCGGAGGCCAGGATCACTGCTGCCGATGCTGCAGGAACTTCGACAACATAAGGGTGGAAGCCCTCGCCGCGCCTGGTCGTCCGGTAGTGGAAAGGGGAAAGGTGGATCAAATTATGTAATACCTCCGCACACTCTTCGAAATGTAACCGATAAAACACCGAGAGGCAAGCTACACGTTATCGGTGGTCAAGGCTCTGGAGATTAGCTTCAACGAGAGCCTATGAGTCTCTTCGCACGGTGTTCCACCGAGTCCAGTGCATCCAGCTGATACCGAGCAGATTCGTCCCAAAGGTGACAACAGTACTCCAAGCAGGAGCGAACTTGGGCTCGGTAAAGGTTAAGGAGCTGCTCAGTAGAAATGTCAGCAAAATAATAAAAAAAATGGGTGCGTGTACTTATGTAGGCGTGTGAGAAGTTATCCTTCTTTGGCATCGTTTAAAATTAGTTTTTAATTGCATGCAAATAATTAATTACAATAAATTAATAAAAAGTTTGGAAAAGGACACAGTCAATAAAGTTCAGTTTTAATTTGAAAAAATAAATAAATAATTAAAATATTCAATTAAAATCGCTACTGAATATAATTTATTAGAACATATGTGATTTGCACTTGTATGAAACTCAAACACGTATTCCGAATATACAAACTAGAAACATGTGGATAAATATTATAAATATGAAAACAGTGATCAGAGGCGACAAGCGTGCCAACATTGTCTTTGACAACGCGATCATCTTATGGAGCTCCGTGGATCGTTCAAAGTACCTTTCGAACAGATGTCTAATAATGGTGGATTATTAACCACTAAGTGGTAGACACTAACATTCATAACGCGCCCGCGACCAACTTCATGGTGTTACTATTGTGTTACAGTGATGCGCGCGCATCTCGAAATTTCACTCTCATCATTTTTTCATAACGCGCCTAAAGAAGTATAACTTCAAAAAATCATAACATATTTCTACCTAACCCAAGGTTCTACAACTCATGTGCTTGAATGTAGATAGATTTTCTTGATGCTACCATAAATAGTTGGGCAACATTCAATACTGTTATCCCATAGTATACGATTCATGTAGCGACAGGAAACAATTTTTGAAGTTACACTTCTTTAGGCGCGTTATGAAAAAATGATGAGAGTGAAATTTTAAGATGCGCGCGCATCACTGTAACACAAAAAATTAACAGCATGAAGTTGGTTCTTCATGCTGTTACTTTTGTGTTTACCGCACATTAAGAAAATCTACCAACAAAATAGAAATAGAATCTCTATTTAGTGGGTGCTAACGACTGCATTGTGAAGGCCTATCAAAAGTATTTATTAATCTGGAACAACGGAACCAAAGCGCGATTCAGGAGACTACAGCGCCATCTCTTGACCATTGGTGTAGTAGAACCAAAAACCACATCTTTATTTTTTGTAATAAAGTAACAGTTATAGGTATTCATATTTATAATATCAAAAGTATTTATTAATCTGGAACAACGGAACCAAAGCGCGATCCAGGAGACTACAGCGCCATCTCTTGACCATTGGTGTAGTAGAACCAAAAACCACATCTTTATTTTTTGTAATAAAGTAACAGTTATAGGTATTCATATTTATAATATTTATCCACGTGTTTCTAGTTTGTATATTCGGAATACGTGTTTGAGTTTCATACAAGTGCAAATCACATATGTTCTAATAAATTATATTCAGTAGCGATTTTAATTGAATATTTTGATTATTTATTTATTTTTTCAAATTAAAACTGAACTTTATTGACTGTGTCCTTTTCCAGACTTTTTATTAATTTATTGTAATTAATTATTTGCATGCAATTAAAAACTAATTTTAAACGATGCCAAAGAAGGATAACTTCTCACGCGCCTACATAAGTACACGCACCCATTTTTTTGTTATTTTACCTTCCTATAACAAATTTTAAAGCAAACTAACCTCACTATAACAAACTCCAGTTTAACGAATTACTCGATATAACGAACAGTTGCTTAAGAAAACTTTAATAGAAAATATTCCACGCGGACCAGGCAGCAGACGGGACTCATGGGGGTCATGACCCCCCCCCCCCCCCCCTGGGCAGTACAGATGGACCAAACCTAGGGGGATTGTATTTCAGTACTTTCAATATTTAATATACCACGACTATATGACCCCCCCCCCCCCCCCCTGGCGCCAAAGCTGGATCCGCCCTTGAAGAGATGGCGCTGCCTTGCAGCTTAAGAAAGGCTAGAAAGAATCCGACACGGTCATCAGGGCCGCGGTAGCTTAATTGGTCAGTGCATTCGCCCGGATAGCAAAGTGTGCGGGTTCGAGTCCCGTGTGCTGCCTGGTCCGGGTGGATTTTTTTCTAGTAATATTTTCTTATGAATATTTACTTGTTCCCTTCCGGTTTGTTATTTCGAAGTTACACTATAAATCTATCTTCATCTGTCCAATAGATGGAAATCTGGGTGAAGGCTACGGACAGCAATTGCAACACGCAACCGGAAAAGTTCAACGACATCTGGAACATCCGGGGCATCCTCGGCAATGCCTACCACAAGATCAATATTAAACTCAAACGCTAACCAGAGGTATAATACTAAAACTATACTTTAGACAATTCACGTACGAAAGTAGTGGTAAATCTGTGGTATAAATATTATATTACTTTAGTTTAACGACATCTGGAACATCCGGGGCATCCTCGGCAACGCCTACCACAAGATCAATATCAAACGCTAACCAGAGGTATAATACTAAAACTATACTTTACACAATTCACGTACGAAAGTAGTGGTAAATCTTTGGTATAAATATTATGTAATTTTAGTTCAGCGACTTCTGGAACATCCGGGGCATCCCTGACAACGCCTACCACAAGATCAATATCAAACTCAAACGCTAACCAGAGGTATAATACTAAAACTATACTTTAGAGAATTCACGTACGAAAGTAGTGGTAAATCTTTGGTATAAATATTATGTAATTTTAGTTCAGCGACTTCTGGAACATCCGGGGCATCCCTGACAACGCCTACCACAAGATCTACGCAATAAAATTTCTGATTTCTGATCAATATCCAACTCAAACGCTAACCAGAGGTATAATAACTATACTTTAGAGGATTCACGTGCGAAAGTAGCGGTAAATCTTTGGTATAAATCTATACTAATAATATTGTAAAGCTGCAGAGTTTGTTTGTTTGTTTGAACGCGCTAATCTCTGGAACTACTGGTCCGATTTGAATGATTCTTTCAGTGTTGGGTAGTCCATTTATCGAGGAAGGCTATAGGCTATAATTTTTTTTCAAAATTAGGGATCCGTAATAAAATTGCTATTTTGTAACACAAGGTGTAAAATCGAAAACATATTTTTGCGTGCGCTGCAAAAACTATTGACAATAGAACAAAATGATGTACTACGGGTTTGTAGATCCCATTAAGACCTACAAAAAAGTCCGCGAGAACATATATCTAGCTGTCATGGTTTAATCACAATAACCGATTTTGTGTTCAAAATAATTATTAAATCGTCTCAAGAAAAAAAACTTTTTTAAACGTTAAATATGTATCGTAATATTAAAAACACAAACAACCCTTAATTTTCACCCCTCTACCACCCTTATTTTTATGGCGATACGAAGTTCGCTGGGTCAGCTAGTATTATATAACTTTAGTTCGACATCTGGAACAGTCATGGTATCGGCAACGCCTATCACAAGATCAATATTAAAGTTTTAGAATACTATCTAACTTTATTAACTCATGATTATGAAGTTACGATGACTCTTGCGGAACAGTAAAATCTCTGCTAATATTCTTATTAAATACAGATGCCAACAATTGGTACTTTATTTTTAATACTGTCAAATAGCCTTATTTCTAAATAACTTTCCTACCATTTTATTATATGTATAGATTAAACAAGTTCCAACGGTATAGATGCACTGATTCCAGCCTGATGACAACCGGAAAAGGTTGCGAAACGACAAAAAATAAATAAATCAGTGCATCTGTACCGTAGACTTGTTTTATTTAATGATTGGTGTGCGTGAAAACCTAAGAAAGAAATAGCCTATTACCTACTAAACTTTAGAGATAGAGAATTCACGTACGAAAGTTCTCTCGGATCATGGAATAGAATCTTAACGATTTACAACTTTATTTTATACAAGTTTAACATATAATTTAAATAGATAACATACTGAAATCTAATGAAAGTTCATATATAATTTTAAACAGGTATGTAAGTACCTTCATATTTTAGAAGGCGAGAAAATCATTACATATAATTTATACATACTCTTCTAAATATTTGTTACTATTGTTGTTATTCTACAGCCTTTTTTTATTGACTATTTGTTATTAGTACTATAATTAGCATAATAAATAACTCATATGACATATTTAATTTATATTTTGTTGATCAAATTGTTTTAAAGTACATTAAGTCATAATAACTTTTTATGGGTTGTTAAGTTATTTTTTTGGTTTGTTTAATTACATGGGTATTAATTATGCATATTCATACTTAAAATATACAAGAAAGGTTGCGGATTTTCCGCTCCTACTCGGGACTCAGTATGAAAGGAAAATATGGTGTGTATGGATGGACTATGGATCGCATCTTTTGGCTATGAGTATATGAGCTATGAGCACTCAATGTATGGGTTATTAGAACTGTGCCTGAAATGCAAGATGCTACTGCAATAATGCCTAACACACAACGATATTAAATACCCTAGATACACCAACACGAACAAAATCGTGCCCGAAACCTGTCCAAAAGGTACATTAAACGATCCACGGAGCTCCATAAGACGATCGCGTAGTCAAAATCAATATAAGGCATTATTTAAATATTGAAAGTAACCTTTAATACATACTGTAGAAGGTCTTAAATAAAACGCATTTTAGTTCTTTGACTCTACGCGCAATTCTGTACGCGCTGTTATTATTATGTTATATTGCTAAATATAGCAGGCTCAGACCGCGAGGAAAAGAGACGGCTATATGGCGACGTTTAACCGACCATGAATTTGAATATCATAAATATTTTATATTAAATCAGTTTATAGTAAGTATTTGATCAAAATTTGCTCCAAATGCGTTCAATTAACAAACACTGACTAGATACCTGTCGAAAAAACGACACTTTTCGCATTTTTTCGCGGAGCTCTATGGCATCTTGACTTTGTAACGGTCCGCGCGTGACTGTGAATCAAGAAGTGCTTGAGTGGAGTTCAAGCACTTCTTGATTGGGACATATTTTGAACGCTCGTGGATGCACCACGAGCGTTCAAAATATTACTCTGGGGTATTTAATAACGTTGCTAACACATAATTTTGACAAAAAAGCAGACAGCCTAGCATGAAAGGTGTCACTGCTCAAATAATACCTAACACGTCATTTTGACTAAAAAAAACTGCCTAGAAAGAAAGATGCCACTGCTCCAATAATACCTAAAACGCTATTCGACTAAGAAGCAGATTGCCTACAATTTATCCGGACCATAATGTTTTCTGCCCACCGTCAATTTGAAATCTTTAAATATCAATAAATAATAAAAGAACTGTATTCTTCGAAATAAAAGCAATTTTTCTATTTTTATTTTTTAATCTTTTAACTGCTAGAATTTTCTGAAGATTTAAAAATCTTCCATTCCTTAAAAATCGCCTTAAATACAACTTAAAATACAGATACTTCCCTTTTTAACTAAAATCTGAACATAGGACAAAATAGACTATCCTGTAATTTTCTAGTGCTAGTCCCGAATTACAACAACCCTTCACATCAAGAGTTTCCAAACAAACTTACGCATTAGGCATTAAAGAGACAGTGCGTTTCGATTTATAGAAGAAATAACATTTAGGCAATAGGGTATTTGACAAGTTTTAGAAAACGATCTCACGTTATTGACTAATGTTTATGGAGTCCGTAAAAAGTGGGTATTCATCATTCTGTTGTCTATTTCAGTAAAAATAACCAAATCAAAAACTCCATTTTCAAGTTGCCGCGAAAACGTTTCTATGGTCAATATGGCGTCTTACTAGTGTGTGACGTCACACGACTGTTATTAAAACGTCAAATGCTACAATGTAATGTCACTTTAACCGGAAGTTTACTTGCGTGTGACGTCATTTTAGGCTCCGCCAATCCGTAGCGTTTGGGTCACGTGACAATAGATAAGAAAACTAATAGAACGAAACGGCCTCATATCATTGCGTTCTATTATAGACTGTATTTATTCGTTATAAAGTACATATTGGCGTGTGTATTATCTTTTTCGTGGGTTTTTAGTAAAATTATGAATATTTTTTTTTGCAAAAATAGTAAAAACCTCTGCCTATATTCATTCTAAACACAGATGCTAACAATTGGCACTTTATTTTTAATACTGTCAAATACCCTATTACAATGCCTAAGCATTTTTGCAGCAGTGGCATCTTGCATTTTAGGCACTGTGCTTATAACCGACTATTCGCTCTGCCTACCCGCCCTGAAGATATATACATAGATATATTTATTATGATGTCGCTTTGTAAGTTATTCGAACAGAAAGATAGATAGGTTTAAAATGTTATCCATAAAAGCTTATATATTTGATTTAACAAGTAAATAATAATGTTTTTAATAATTCATAAAACTTTATCGCAAAATCAAAAAAATCGCGTTTATAAATATAAACGCTCTAAGAACAATTGACATGTAACTTTGAACAAAACACATCTAATTGTGATATGATAAGTGAGAATGTATAATTTTCATCGCATCTCATTGTTATTGTTATCTTGTTGCTAAGTTCAATAATCATAAATAATTGTGTTTAATTATAGCGGGTAATAAGATTACCTTTACGATGTTTATTGTTACAATTATCTGAGTACATAAGTCTTTAGTCACTGTTAAGTATTGGTTAGTTCATTTACACGTCTTTATTTTTAATAACTGTTGTTGTTTTGAAAATACAGTCTTAATTTTACCATAAGACCGAATAAAATGTTGATTATGTTTTAATGCTTATTTACTATAACTATGTAAAATTAAAATTGATTTAATTCTAATTGGACGTGCATTTAAAAAATATAATCAATAAAGACAATTTTTTATACAAAGTTAGTTTTATTTCAATATCGGGTTTTGCGTTTATGTTTTAACATTAAACATCTATTCGAGCGCTCGTACCGGTTGGCATCGCAGTATGCAACAATACTTACAAGTAGAGATGTAACGACTTGATAGGCATGCGTCCGATATATCAAAACGAATCCAAAATCCGATTTCAAATACAAATCGATATCGAACGATTTCTCAACAAGAAAATCCGATTTCAGAAATCTAACCGAACCAAAACCAAATACCACAAGTATCCAAATGTAAATCGGATTCGAAATTCGTGATTTCGTTTTCGGAAGTCAGATTTCGTGCTCGGAAGTCCGATTTCGATTTGCTGTTTACGGAAATCTATTGCTGTTCTCTGAGGCGGGATTATTTATCACTGAAAAGATATGTCGTCTAAAAACATCAAAAGTCGAGCAACTTACATTTTTGGACGCTAACCTGAAGTAATTAGGTTTGATTTTG